TCATCACCATCATCATCAGCACCATCACCATCATCTTCGTCACCATCATCCTCATCACTGTCACCATTATCATATCATGCTCATTATCATTATCATCACCATTTTCTTTGGTATGATTCTTGCCATCATTGTCATCATTGTCTTATCAGTCTATCTTAGCGGCACTAAACACCCCTTTTTCTTCTGTTCCCTCCTTAGCGTTTTGAACATTCCAAAAAATCCAAAAAGATTTCTACATATATACCATTTCCTCAAGAACTGGACATGACACCATTCACATCATTAAGGTTTGTTCAGCCTTTGAAATACTTTTACAGTAATCCTGTTGACTGTAATGAATGGAACTAGAGATGATATGGGAAATTTAGTACTCTAGTCTTATATTCTCTGTTTTTCTTTACAGATTAGGGCAAAATGTTGATATCAGTACTATATCTCATCAGAATCAATGTTTATCATACAACAGCAAGTAAGTCTAACTGAAATAAAAATAGATCACGTCTTCTTCGTCAGGAAAATAATTGAACATGACATAAAATATGTCTGTGCTATACACCCTTCTCATAATGGCTAACGAGCACACAAAAACAACTTAGGTCACCCAGTCATCTTGCAAGGCTGAGCAAGGCTGCTTATTCAGAATAACGGTGGATAGCATGAATACAGGTCAAAATAAGAGTTAAATTTCTATACTTTTCACTTATAAACTCAATTAATGTACTTTTATATCTTGTATTGTGAACTAATGACTGGGTGACCTCGTTTTCGTGCCCTTTTCAGCACAGTGAGAACGGTGTATATTTTGTATGCTTTAATTCTTATGTGTGTTTTGGATTGTTTTGTTTTCTTTCTTTGTAGGTATTTGTTATTTGCGGTGGTCAATCATAGTGGTACATTAGAAGTTGGTCATTACACAGCATTTATACGTCAACAACATGAGGTGAGTGCAAAGAGATCTTTTTGCATTTTATTGAACCCTGAAACCACCTCTGGGCTGATCTAAGTCAGGGCATGGCTAACTCACAGATTGAACCCTGAAACAACCTCTGGGTTGATCTAAGTCAGGGTATGGCTAACTCACAGATCAAACCCTGAAACAACCTCTGGGCTGATCTAAGTCAGGGT